ACACCTTTACTTATATTTCTTGTTTTTTTTCAGTTTTGTTTAATTTACCAGGAAAGTAAGCTATTTAGTAACCGATTCTATCGGACGAATAGTCGGAATTTTACTCGTCGTAGTGTGATCGTACTGGTTCTGCGCCGCGTTACGCGCTGCGTAGCTACTCTAATAGATTAATATACTATTATTTTTATAGCATATGCTCATATTACTATTGAGTAGTGAGTGAACTATAAATTCAACTAATACAAATAAACTATTAGTCAACCCTAAAACTATAGTTTACGCTCTAACCCAGTGGACATCAAAAGGTTTGATCGTAGCTCGTAGCCAATCAAAATCGAGTAACTGCTTTACGTAGATCAAAGTACTTTTATTAACTTAAAAACTGGTTGTATATTTTTTAGAATATACTACACATATAAAAATGTATAACCGGATTTGAACTTCGATAGTAATTTTTTTATATTATAGAAATTCATCTAGTCTCATTCATTCAAACAAAATAAAAATTTTACGCAATATCTATAAGAAAGATTATCAGATATGATTGTAATTGATTTTATAATAGTGATTCTAAAACCTGAAAAGTTTATCATACATGAGATTTTACGCAAATATTTGTAATTAAGTGTGAAAAGTTTATCATACAGTACAATTGAAAATACCACGCGACGATAGTGAATTAAGAAGTTTATTTACTGGTTTTGGCAGTAGATTTCTCAAATATGATGATTGTAAATACGAAGAAAGTTTAATCAACATTGTTGACGAATTCAACAGAAAGAATTGTAAAGTAAAAAGCCACGTGATAAATTTATACAGTAAACCATGTGATTTTGATATTAAATAAAGGGAATTGCTATAGTACCCTAGCCATGGCGAAAAAAAGTGACGGTCATTGTGAGATTCTACTCATATTCACCGATTTGATTTTTAGGGCTCTTTTTTCGATAAATAGTTGCACAACCCTTTGCCATTATGTGACGTGAAGAATAACAAATGAAACTTTTAATAAAAACAACTTTATAGCCTTTATATGAGATAAACAAGCAATAAATACTAAAAAAACAACTATACTAAGCGTAAAAGAAAGTACTATCACTAGTTGTTGAAGCGTTCGGGTAGTGAACGATCAGCATAGCGGGCTTTCATTCTGATTGGATGATTGACCAGAATGTTACACAATATGAAAGACATATTGTGTAACGTTTTGCAAGCACAAAAATGGATTAGTAAGCACAATGACGAGTTAGTAAGAGTTAAGACCAAAAGAATTTAAAAGTAGAGGTTTCGTTTTATATACTGACAAAGTAATTTGGCAATTCACGAAGTAATTCAGAAGTTAGATGAGAGGTATATTTGAACATTTAAGTTTTGCATATAGGTACAATAAGTTAATGAAACCCAGCAATTTAAGTTGTCTTTTTATTTTTGAAAACTTATTTTTCGTAATCCAAACTAATATAAAAACCTGACTATAATATAGACCAATAATATGAAGTTGAGAGTTATAACAGATAAGGTTCATAGACATCGTGATAATAGTTAAAGCGGAAGTAATAGGTACTATAGCCATATAACGATTATTAAATAAGATTAATTAGTTTGATATTAGAGAGAATACTTACTGAATTTTTTTTTATATTAGCTATTAATGTTCCATAATAGGTTTAAATATTTATTTTCTACGTATATTTTTTTGTTTTTGGTTCATTTTTTGGAGCTTTTATTCTTTTTTTTTTTGATTTGTAGTATGTTAGGGTTATTTCTTTAATAAAATTTTGGCTCGTCAGAATTTTATCTGTAATAAGATTTTAGATTTAGATTTAAAGCTATCGAGATTTCATGGTAAAGACCTATGTTGGTATTAATTTCGTTACAAATATAGTTATTTATATGTATATATGAGTTTTTATTCATGACGAAGAATTTCGATTAATTTCGATTAACCAATAAAATTTTTGCTATATCACGAGATGATCTACAAAAATTGGCCAATCACAATAAAAGCCCGCTATGCTTTGTATAATAGGTAAGGGTGAATTCAGAAGTAATTTTTCAGAAAAACAGCTTTTTTAACCTACTGTTAGCTAATAATTAAACATGTAGATATTGCAATATTCTATACACTTAATTATAGCTTTAAAAGACCGTTTTTTTAAAAACACCTTGTAATAAATTTTAGCAACAAATAATTCTCAGCTAATTTTGGGGTTAAACCAAATCGGTGGATATGTCGAACCACATGACGATCTACGCCATCTAGCCAATCAGCAATGGCTATGGTTGGGTTAGGGTTAGGTTAAAGTTAGGGTTAGTATAAGCATTAGGTAACAGGAGCGGTGTGGAGGCGATAGCCATAGCAAGCGACTACTAAGTGAGCGAAGCAAGCTTAGTTGGTATTGTTAAGTGTTAGCAAAGCAATACAAGTTATATTGTCTTTAATAAAGTTGTTTTTAGAGAATGTTTAATTGCGTGTTGCTGATATATAAATATAATTAAAAACTAATAAAATTTTTAAATAAGATTAAAAATAACTATAATATTAAGTATTTTATTTAATAACGTTAAAAACCGGTGCATCGCACTGGGCTAAGACTAGTATACAGTATATCTCTATTGTATCTGATATATTATTTTAATAAATACAGTACGCAAAGCAAGTTTTAATTCTATACATGCATTATACTATTGCAGATCCTATTTTTAAACTTGTTTTTTAAAGAAATTGCCATTGTTAATTACCCTTATCTTTTATATTAATCATATAATATACTTTATTTTGTTGTATAACCAGTTTTTTTACCAATAGTAATAGGGTTATATATCTATAAATTTATATAGTACATTATATATATGTAGATCTTTTAAATGTATGTTCTTAGCTTATTTATTTTGTTTACACGAGAATTCATCGAACTGAAATCTCATAAATTGACTCGTTCATTCTCTCTTATCTTTTTTGTTTACGGCAAGTCTGGTCCTTTTCTGAATATCTTGTTATTAATAAGAAAACACATATATTATGACTTTAGAAAATACTGTTCAGTACCAAGGTAAGAAAGTTACATATTTTTTCAATTAACATGGCATTATTGAAATGCAAATTCATAGTATTTATAATCTTTGAATCTTTTAAAGTGAGTGACAGGAGTAATGTTAATTTTGTTCAACAGGAAAGCCAATTAAATACTCATATGAGAAGGTTTACTCGAAAAAATTATATGAACGACTCAAAGCAATTTAAGGCTTTTTATGAAAAGAATAATGGTAAAACTGACCGAAACAATAATATGAGCAGCCCAAAGCAAGTCGTCCGTAAGGTTAGCTTTGTTCAACAGGAAAGCCAATTAAGCAAAGCTCTTTATAAAGAAAATAGGTAAAAATGATTTACTGATGTTGGTCACTGAATAATTATAATAAAGTTATAAACTAATTCATTTAATAATAGATTATGTTCACATATTAGCAGATTTTAAAGGAAATGTTTTTCAAAAAAATTATACACTGGTAGAAGAAATTAATCATGTGAAAAATGATATTGATAATTATAAGTCTGTTAGCACTGCTATCGGGCTTAATTTTCGAAAAAATGACTCAAAATTAAATTTTAACTTAAAATAAGGTATATTCAATTCAATCAATAGTAATGTGTGAAAATTTTGTGATAAATAAGCATTCTAATTGTTTTTTTTTTAGTTAACGCTAAAGAATTTAGTCATAATTTACGTTTGGAACATAAATAGCTAGTTAACGAAGTCAAAGAATACAAAAAAAATACCGAAATTTCCAATGTTGTAAACAATTATAACAAAACAACTTTATAAGATTGGTTTATAATTTACTATTATTTTTTTGATAATGATTTCATAAACTTGGAAATGTGAACTACTAGTTTTTTATAAACTCTTGGTAGTTATAGATCTCTACATATACTGCTGTACTGACCAAAGCTCGTTGTAATAGCTGTTCATATATACGAAATAAAAAAAAATTGATTTATCTTGAAAATTTCACTTACAAAATATACCAACTTGATTAGTCAAATTTATAGATTCCTAACGCTAATACAAATGTCAGTACAAATGACGTAATTCATGACTAATATTCTCATGATTGGTTAATCGCATCTAATTGGTCAAATTTATCAATGTTACAGTATTGTATATTGTAGAATGGGAAAATTATACTGTATTATTATTTTAAAATATTATTCTAAATTAAAGTAATTTATATATTAGAATATATAGTATTTTTTTGTGTATAGATCACGTGTAAGCTTTTTAAATAATAAGAAAACCAGACTTTAGAATCATATATAATTATACTTAATTGCTTTCTTTAGAATTTTGTAGTATTTTTGTGTATTCTGTGGTAATTGAAGTCAATTTCTGTAATTGGCTCTCGTGCTTCTCAAATGACAATATTCTGTCTCTCTCACACTCTCTCTGCTGAAAATTTTCGTGATAAATGACATGTACTATAAATTACATATTGGTCAAAATAAAATAAATTTTTCTATTGGTCAGATTGATGAGAATCAAACAACATAAATTACCATATTGTTCAGATTTCTTTTGAGAAATTACATTTTACTATCTAACGTAATCAGAAAATTTTTCGACTCTTTTCATTGGTATTTTTTCTTAAGTGTACTCAATAAAATAAGAAATGTTATTAAAAGCCCAATAAGATCACATGATTCCGCGGACCCATGAGTTCGCAGAATTATATAATTACGTATTATATATTTGCTATCAAAATTGTAAATACATGATTTTTAATTTTTTGCCATTAAAGAAATCAGGACACAACAGGCACTATGTGAAGTGCACTATGGCTAGTATAGTAATAAATAGCGGAGCACTTGCTTCTAGTGAAGATCTTGAGAATGTTGATAATTTAATTCACTATTGTTTTGTCAAATAATAGAAAATATTACATTGAATTACCTAATTAATTCCATTATTATTCAAGATAATCTCCTATAGTTTATATTTCTTGTTAAAAGAAGCTAGTGCTCGGCACAATCAAACAAAAATTTGATAGTCAAATACTTGTGATAAAGTCGGACATCAAATTAACCAATACTATATATGTATATGTATACATGTATAAAAAATGCCACTTACTCATTCTGCTCACAGTGCACAACTTAAAAGACAGCCCGGAGCCTCCTTACACTACTATCATAACTGTGATCCTAATTGTTAAGGTCCTTGCACTGTCACTACAACTATGAAGTTTGAAATTCTTATTTGAAAATATAATTTATTTTGTGAAATATGATCTATTAATAACGCGATTTTGTTTTTCATATAAATTTCACAAAAAAAAATATGATTGGCCAGTATCGCGATGTTTATCAATTATCCACTTTCGTAAAAAATACCAAAAAAATATGATTGGTCAGTATGTATCATTCATAAAAAATAGAAAAAAATATGATTGGTCAGTATTGTGATGTACAGAGTTACACCCTCTTTATAAACAATAATTTTTAAAACAAACTTATATAAAACATAAGAAATTTGACCTCCATACAGGCACAATTTCTAACACAGAATTTATTGAACCGAGGGTATGACTGTAGAGAGGCTTGACTGTATATGATTTATAATAGAGATGTGATCCGTAACTATTTTTTATTATAAAAACTGAGTTTTTTATAAAAAAATAGTTCAAATCGTATCTCTAATTTATAATCAATATTAAGTTGACAAATTTCTTGAGAATTTCGATTTGATATCCAAATCGATAACTTGAATATTCTGAGGATTATTATCAGAGATTAAAGCTTCCAAATCTTCAGTCACCTTTAAGCATAACAATCTGGTTTCTGAGAAATCATGAACTGTTTATCATTTCTTCTTAATGGAAAGAACTAAATCATTTCAAAAGGTTTATAATGTTTCGCTGACATATATTACTCAATAGTTTATTATGTTGCTGCTTCGTAGAGTTAAGTTCTTTAATCTATGAATAATATATAAAATTAATTATCTATTATTTTTTATGAATTATTATGCTCACAGGCCCTGGAAGTAATTTTTTTTGGGAATGGTTGCTAAATCAAACATCTTATAAATGCAAATTCCCGATTGAATAAATTTCAAATAGATTAGCTTTTTTTAATAGGACACTGTATTGAGTTTTCCACAATAAATGTAAACATAAAATTCAATATAAGTTTAATTTGTAAATTTAAGCTTATAATTGACAAGTTTTAATTAAAAATGAAGACTTTAATACTAATAATAAATATATATGTTGTACTTCATGTAAAATAATATCTTAACTATAACGATAATGCATATTAATATATCTGTTTAGGCTGCTCATTAGTTGCATGATCTATTTTATTTTTATTTTAAATTATATAGATTCTGATGAAGTTTTATTACTTGATTTTAATTTAATTTAAATTTTTATTTTCATTAGTATGTATGAAATATTTGTCAACTAATCGACTAATTGACTAATTGACTAATAGTCGATTAATCGACTAATGACTTTATGATTCCTATCCGTAATTTAGAAAAAATATACAGTATTGACTAATTGTAAACCATCTGAGAAAGGTATGATAAGGTAATATAAAAAATTAGAACCATTTTATTTTTAATTAAATAGTATTGGCCCAAAAAATCACTCGAAAATTGTAGTACTGTACAATGCTCATAATAAGTGTCCAATCAAAAGTCTAAAGATAGACACGCAAATCAACCTTTTTAATCAAAATTATTACAAATTTTCAATAGAATCAGCAAATAAAAAAAGAAATTTTCTTCATGTTTTATTTATTAAATTTATCGAGTAAAGAAAGCAAAAACAAGCAATATATAAATGAATATTAATAACGACTTAACCTATAAGAAAACTTGAATGTATATTTAAAAATTTTGAACAGTATAATTTTTAAAAACTCTCTTCTAATTCGTTTAAGCTCTCATCAGATAACTTATAATAATCAATATTATCCGCTGGTTCCTGTTCTTCAATTTTTTTAAGAAGCACAGCAAATTCATCTTTTGTCATAGCTCTTAGTCTAGGTAGGTCGATCATTTTGCTATCATAAATTACTTGCTAATCCAATCTTTGAACAAGTATTAATGAACATCTGGCTGCAACCATTACATTTTTGATTATTGCTGGTTTACTTTTATGATAAATTGTAGCTGATTCTACTAATATTTTATTTACAAGACTTGCAATCCTTTCACCTTTAGCAAATTCACGATTCCAGTTATTTGCTTCTGGGTTTATTTCTTGTCTCTTTTCTCTAGTATCTTGATCAATCACAGTGATGACCCCAGGAATAAAAAATTGACCAGAGTTCTTTAGTTTCTTTATTCTTTTCGTTAGCCTAAAAGAGATTTGTACTAATTCACAAAGAGTATGGATGTATAATACTCTTGAAAATTGATAATCATTTTCGTTATTTGAGATTTTTTCCAAATAGCTTTAATCTGACTTTCGATGTCGTCTCCCTCCTCAATTTCCATAGGCACTGGTAAAGATCTGATCATATCGAAAATTCAACTTGGGTTTTTGAGCAAGATAAAGAAAGAGAAATTAATTGTTTGATCCAAATGTCGTTTCTAATGGAAGGAATAGAAAGATCTGAAACATCTCGTTGGAGAAAGGTTTACGACAATGTTGTTTTTGTAAAAAGAATAATAAAAGAAGAAAATATTTCTCTAGAAGCCTTCCTTGAAATTATTAAAAATTTGAATATATCGATTAATTACCTTTAAGAAATAGATCCAGACGAATTTAAGAATCTGATTTATTTGATCTTAAAAAAAACACACAATTTAACGTTTCCAGAAAGAATGACAAGCAATACAAACAGTATCAAACCAAAAAGACTTAGACAAAAAAAAAATTCAGACCTTATGAAAAGCGCATAAATAAAGAATGTCCACTATTGCCTCCAACTGTCTCACCAGTTATACCGATAAGATCAAGTTCATATAGCAATATTGAATAGTATGAATACAATGCAGAATTACACAAAAGCCGACAACAACAAAAAGTCAATACAGAATGGGCTGCTGTTTATAGTATATTTATTCAATTTTATCAATTGTCTGAATATATCGAAAGTTTATCTTTTACATTTACAGATGATAAATTTGACAAATCATCAATAGGATGCAATTAACCAGTCATGAAAAAAGATCCAAAGGTCAGGAGAATCTTAGCCACAAATTACATCATTTGTACTGACATTTGTATTAGCGTTAGGAATCTATAAATTTGACTAATCAAGTTGGTATATTTTGTAAGTAAATAATTAACCAATTTTTCAAGATGAATCAATCTTTTTTCTTTATTTCGTATATACGAGACAGCTATTACAACGAGCTTTGGTCAGCACAGCGGTGTATATAGAGATCTATAACTAGCAAGAGTTTATAACAATACTAGTAGTTCATATTTCTAAGTTTATAAAATTATTATCAAAAAAATAATAGCAAATTATAAACCAATCTTATAAAGTTGCTTTGTTTTGTTATAATTGTTTACAACGTTGGAAATTTCGGCATTCTTTAACTTCATTAACTAGACATTTATGTTCCAAACATAAATCATGACTAAATTCTTTAGCGTTAACTAAAAAAAAAGCAATTAGAACACTTATTAACTACAAAAATTTCAAATGTTACTATTGATTGAATATTACCTTGATGTAAATTAAAATTTAATTTTGAGTCATTTATTCGAAATTTAAGCCCGATTGCCGTGCTAATAGACTTATAATTATCAATATCATTTTTCACACAATTAATTTCTTCTACCAGTGTATGATTTTTTTGAAAAACGTTTCCTTTAAAATCTGCTAATGTGAACATAATTTATTATTAGATGAATTGATTCATAACTTTATTATAATTATTCAGTGACCAACATTTTTACCTATTTTCTTTATATAAAGAGCCTTGCTTTCCTGTTGAACAAAGTTAACCTTACGAACGACATGCTTCGAGCTGCTCATATTATTGCTTCGGTCAGTTTTACTATTATTCTTTCCACAAAAAGCCTTAAATTTCTTTGGGTCGTTCAGATAATTTTTTCAAGTAAACCTTCTCATACGAGTACTTAATTGGCTTTCCTGTTTAACAATGTTAACCATATTTCTGTCATTCGCTTTAAAAGATTCAAAGATTATAAATACTATGAATTTGTATTTTGATAATGCCATGTTAATTGAAACTTTCTTACCTTGGCACTAAACAGTATTTTCTAAAACCATAATATACGCGTTTTTTCTGAAAAATCAATGACAAGGTATTCAAAAAAGGATCTGTCTTGCCGTGAACAAAAAGGATAAGTGAGAATGAGCGAGTCAATTTATCAGATTTCTGTTCGATGAATTCTCGTGTAAACAAGACAAATGAGTTATAATATTATTACGTTAAAAGATCTGCATATAAAGTATATCGATATATATAATGTACTATATAAATATATATATTACTAGAAACGTATAACACTATTAGGCCCTATTAGTAAAAAAAACTGGTTCTACAACAAAATAAAGTATATTATATGATTAATGTAAAAAGATAAAGGTAATTAACAATGACGATTTCTTTAAAAAAAAGTTTAAAAATATATAGGATCTGCAATAATATAATGTATGTATAGAATTAAACTTGCCTTGCGTACTGTACCTATTTATTAAAATAATATATCAGATACAATATAGGTATATATTATATAGTTTACTATGTATATATTAAAACGCATTTTTCTCAGTATTAAATAAAATATATATAAGTCCGAGTATATATGCTATTTAAGTTAAATAATAAGATATATATATAATGAAATAATTCTTACCGAGTACATGTGAAATTAATAAAGTAATTAGAAACTTGTAAAAATATGAGCACGCAACTTTCAAATCAAGAAAACTCTGAACAAGCTATACGAAGCTATTTGCTCAAGGTTAACGTCTTGTTATTGCTTCTGGAGTTCTTATTTTTAGAGTATGTTTAATTTTAAATCTTAAAAATTATAAGATTACTTTAGAAAATTATCTTCTTTTTTTTTTTTTTTTTAGCTAAATTCGTATTTTTTTTCATTTTAGATATTAGAATTTATCTTTGGATTGTCAATTAGATCTTTAGAAATTTTATTCCTGTAAATTCTATTTTTTATTTATTATCATTATTGGTTTGCTTCAATATAGTAATGTTCTTTTTAATAAAATTTTATAAATATGAAGTGGCAAATGTCTACAAAATGAATTTCTTAATGGTTGGTTTTTTTTGCATTGCTACCCTTATTACCAACAAGAAAATAATCATAGATGTTGTGTTCATTTTAAGAGTTGCGATTTTAATGTGGAATTAGTATTCATTTGTTAACTTTGTCTGATTTTTTTATTTAAATAACGACAAATTCGAATTATATTGGATGGTCTTGTTTATTGGGTATATATATATACACTCATTAACAGTTAAGTTTTTTGACTCGAGTATGATACCAATCATTTTACATTTATATACAGTCATATTTGGAATTGAATTTAATATCCATATCCATTGCTTAGCACAATTATAATCTTTTCGTAAAAGTTTAGGACATACACTTTTTTAATTTTTTCATCTATTGTTCATTTTTGAACTTAATTGGCTTCGCTATCCTTGTTCAGTATTTTAAATTGAGCTACATTGGATGATTTTGTTTAGTAGGTATATGTCTAATTTTCATCAGAATTCTTGAATCAAATACTGTATTAATAATTTTTATTCTTTGTAGTCTTATTTGTGTTGAAAATAATATTTATCATTTTGCTCAGTCGGGATCTCATAATACTCGTGATATCATAGCATGCTCTTTATTTGTTCATTCATTTTGCCTATTGTAATTTATTATTAATCTTAGAAAAATTGATGGGTAGTTGAATTCATAAATTCAATAGCATTTTAAATTTGTCTTCTGAAAATAAAGTTGATAATTTTATGTTTTATTTTTCTATTTTTTTAAACATATATCCGGATTTAGAACAAGATAATTTTAAACATTTAAGATCTAACTTTAGAATCCAACTTTAAATGATTAATACTAGTATACCTCTGATTTAATTTATCATGTGATGCATGTGATAGTAGATGGATGGCTCGTGCAATTTTTTATATAAAATCGGTTTTTAATTTAAAAAAATTGCACGAGTCACCCATCTATGTAATAGAGACTAAAGTTTATTAATTAAATAACGATACAAACTTATTGATTGAATGCATTCAATTACAAAATTAAAAAATTATAAAATTTTTAAATTTACAGAAGCAAAATAAAAAAAAATTCATCTCAAAAGTAATCAAAATCGCTAAGTTCAATATATGCATAAATATCTTTGGTGTATTCAAACAGCTTTAATTTTAAATTGAATATGTGCCAAATGGATTCAGTATTAACTTAAGTTAGTTCGAAATTTTTTGACAATTTGAATGAAAATAAACCTTAATTCAAAATGAGTAGATTTTAAATTCCGCAAGATTCCATTTCGATATAAACCATATATTTTATATTACATGTCCTGTAGATAAATTTTATTTTAATGTTGACACATTCAGAAAACTCGACACTTTGGTATGTTTAGAAAAGACTGTTTGACAAGTCGTGAATACACAAATTATCATATGCGCAACAATGATTTATGACTATGAGGGTAGGGTGACCTATTATATAAATTCAGCTCAAATTTAATTTAGGCTGATTATTTTCGCAAACATACATATTTATTTTTGAGCTTTCATTCTGTAAAATTGAAATATTCAATTTCAAACAAAGGTAAAAAAGAACAACTAACATATCAAGATAATCCAATAACTATCACAAAAATACAAAGAAACATTGCACTTGATTATAATCCAATCGAATACAATTTGTGACGAGGTAGAAAGTAAGGATGTTAAACCGTTTACCAGATTTTAAATCAAATATATTAAACTCACGGTGAAATGCTTCAGAAAGTTTAAGGTTATTACTAACATTATAAGACATATTCGCATGTATAATAGGTTAAATATTGGACATTCAGGAAGTAAATAAATTATCTTTTAGGTTCTAAATTAAAATTTTGAACCTTTTTTTACCTATATTTAATAGTTTTTTTTTTTTTTTTTTGAATCGCAAATATTGATTTTTGGAAAAAACTTTATTAAAATCAAATTTAATCTATTCTCACTATAATACGTATTTAAAATTGACTGTCAGTATTTGTAGGTCATTTTAGCGAAATCAGGATTTATAGAACATGCATTTTATTTGTTCATCGTTTTTGCCTGTTATCATTTACTATTAGTGTTTATTCGAAATTGATATAGATGGTTGAATAAAATTATTGATTATTTTAAATCTGTTTCTTTTCTTGTTCCTAGCTTTTTTTGCTGATAACTACATAATTTTTTTTTTATTATTGACATCTTGAGGGATTGGAATTAATACTGAACACTTATCAGGAATCATTGTATCAGCCAGGAAGTGTTTCATACTCCTGACTTTGTAATAAACTAATATAATTTTGGAGTCAGTGCAAATTTATGTAGGATTATTTTTTTAAAAAATCACGTTGTTTGTAAAACTCAATTAGACCAATCAGAACGCAGAAACAAGAGACGTCAAATGATATGAATTCGTTGGATGATCTTAACAAATCATGTGATTTACAAGTACACCAGTTAACTAACTACGCAAAAGTGATTTTTTATTATTGTAAAGAGCAAATATCAGTATTCTTCATGAGTTTATTTTAGCGACAATCTAAGCAATTGATAGAAAAGATAAAGTAAACTAAAACACCTTTTATATGTTATAATTTTTTGGTTTAAAATCTAATAAATCTTTTATTAAGTGCTGAAGTGACAATCTCGCATCTTTAACAATCTACAAGGCAAACCAGATTTTATTTTTTTGAGGTTTCGAGTTTTTTTTTCTAACTACTTTTGTCCCAGCTTGTGTTCCTCGCCTAATTATTTTAGTAGTAATATTTGGAAATTGAGTTTTTTTTCATGTCTTATTATTAAACTCCTGCAATTAAATCTTTTTATATATTGAATTATAATAAATTTGTTATTAATTCTTGCAAGAATGAACAATCATAAACTCAAAGTCGATTAAAAAAAAAAAAAAGTAATAATGAAAAAAAAAGAAAGAGATAATAAGGTAAAAAGAAAAACTAAGTATACTCCAAGATATGAGTAGTAAACCCACTATTTTCGAAGGATTTTTTTCAAAGCTTTAATCGGCATTTAACATTATCAGGTTCAGGGAAGGGCATTTCATAACCGCGCATGAAACCCGCTGTATTAAAGAGTTTAGGACGGTATTCAGGAGGTTCTGACATAATACTAAGAATAGTATTCATATTAATAATTACTATTATTATATGATGATAAAATTTTGAAAAAATTAGACATATATACACGGAATTTCTAAACTTTTGGATGAGTGCGTTTTTGCCATGGACATTGGCATATGATAATTCACAAATTTTGTCAGAGTTGGATCCCGGCCTTTAAAAGTGAGTTATTATTAGTTATAAGTAATTTTATCCGACAGCTTACTATGATTTGTCTGTCAGATAAATTTATTATTCAGCAGAAACTATAGTTGCCGAATAATAAAATTGTTATTGGGCAGACTATCGTCGTAAGTTTCTGGATGAATCCGTTATCAGTCATGCAGATGCTTTATAACTTAATTATTTGGTCAAAAATTTAAGATCAGCCTAAAGAGTTGAATTCCTTAGGAATTCAATTTCCTAGTCTGATTTTAAATCTTTGACCAAATAAATAAGTTATCAGCAGTGCCTGTTTGATAATAACTATTAATTATTGTATAAAATCTTAGATAAATATATACCATTTTTTTCTAATGCGTGTTTCAGCAAAAGAAAGTACAGCACTTTCAAAACAATTTAAAAAATATTAGAGTAGGAAAAAGGAATTAAAATAACACATACAGTATGAAGAAAAATTTACCTGACATCCGCAAAGTTAATAAAAGCGTATCTGACATTACACTTGTTTTGAAAATCGATACACAAGTAGATGAAATCGTATTGACCACTATGAGTTTTGTCAAGCCAATCCAACAGCATTTGCTAAAGTTACCGAAAGTAAGCAACAACACAATATAACATTGACAATAGAATAATCACTGGTTAAAACAAAATTATATTTTTAACTAAA